GGAGACATCAAACCAACAGCGCTATGAACCTCTCTCGACCACGGAGTATAAATTTCCACCGGCAAAGGAAGGATGCCGTGGGGATAACGTTGGTTTATTTTATTTTATTTTTTTTATTTTTCCTTTTTTAAAGTGCACTAAACCCCCAAATTTTCTTTCGTTTAACGAAATAAGCATACTTTCTGTGCAAATATTTTTTTATTTTCTCAAATCTTCAATCTTCTGTGCCCAGTCAAAATACGGAAAATCGGCCGCCATCTTCGCTCGCGACCGAGTTTAATGAGGAATGGTTTCTAGCGGGTATTGTGACGTCAAATCGAGAACACGAAAGTCTGCATTTGACACATTTTCACTTGTTTGGGGAGGTTGTCGTCGATATTGTCTGAAATATGCCGACTAGGTGTGTTGTATGAGGAATGTCTGAAGCGCGATACCCTCTTGCAAATTTCGCACGTTTCTACATCCTCGTACGACACACTTCGTCGGCATATTTTCGGACAATATCGACTACAGCTTTCCCAAACAAGTGAAAATGTGCGAAATGTAAACTTTCGTGTTCTCGATTTGACGTCACATTACCCGCTAGAACCATTCCTCTTTAAACTCGCTCGTGGGCCAAGATGGCGGCAGATTTTCCGTATTTTGACTGGGCACAGAAGATTGAAGATTTAAGCAAACAAAAAAATGTTTGCACAGAAATACTCCAAAAAGTACGCTTATTTCGTTAAGCGAAAAAAAAATTTTGGGTTTAGGTACATTTTAAGCTCTTACATTCAATTTAACTCAGTATTGTATGTGGAACGCACTTCTAGTTTAGAGGTGATAAAGATGTAAATTGAAGTATTAATTCCAACAAGGAAACAAAAATATAGCTAAATCATTTACAGCCTTACGTGCCTCGATCTGAATCCCCTGCTTCTCATAGAAGGTTCTCAATTTTCGCTAGTGCCTCCAAGACTTTATACTTATTTCTTTTTTTTTTTTAGGATCTCATGTCCGCGGGATGTGTCAAACATGAACCCATGGTTAGAGAGTTCGACATAGCAATTAAGAANATTCATTTTGTTTGTTTTTTAACAGGAGGCGTTATCTACTTTAACGTGCGAACCAAGGAAATTCCTGACTTCGTAAAGCCCATGAAAGAGCTGGAAGATAAAGGCTTGTGGACCAAAATCCACGAGGCAAAAGTAGAGCATTATAAAATCGATGATCCTAAGCTACCGAAACTTACCACTGTATTTGCGTTTCAAGTTCACCACAAGAAGTGCAACGGTAATTAGTGTGGCTGCAATAAGATTCATAGACTTTTCACAAGATTGTCCTTCGTGTATCAAATGATGAAAAAGGGAATAAAATGGCAATTTAGGGCTAATGAATTAAAGTATGTTCTCTGAGCATAGAAAACAATTTTCAAGACGGTGTGGAAAGTAATCCGAGATTGCAGACTTTGTTCTGTGATTGGTCCTGGAAACTCGCGCCACTCTCTCGACCAATCAGATGCAAAACTCAAAGCAACTACTGTTTGGTCGGCTGCGTTCTCACGCGCTTTAGGCAGTTTGGTTGTTTTTACTTAATTGGCTCTTGGCGCTTAAGATCGAGCATTGCCTACCATTTTTATTTTTATCACCGTTCGATCTTAAATACTACTCATTGATGCGGTGTAATAAATATTATTATTTATTATGATGTCATCACAAAAATTAGAAACGAAGACAAATTGAGTATGCTTGCTTCAGAGCAGTGGTGGATCGGTCGTAGTTCGAGTGGAATTCAAATACGGCTCCCAGAATTCAGTTCGCGTTAATGAGAGCATTCATTCTAGAAGGGTATCGTCTTTTTAAACAAGACTTAAGCAACTGATCGCTTTGACGACATGATAGAAATATACATTGATGTGCCATCATCTCTCCGAATAATAAGGATCGCCAAGTGTCTGGTGATTCAACGATTCAAGACTATCGCACGATAAGCATCGGGTTTCATTGACATGTTGGTCCACTGGTGATAAGAGTTTATAGAACGAATCCTTTACTTTTTCCCACGTAAATCGTTCATAATCTACCTGCAACATAAAGTCAGTGTTAGATTTTTCTTTAATTTTTTTTTTTTTTTCTATTGCTATAGAATTCGGGAATCATAAGTTAATTTTTCATTGTATATATTGCAACTAGTGAACGTGTGGTTGGGAATCCTTCTACGATAGAGGGCCTCACTACTAACAGGGACCTTAAGCAATCAGGACGGTAACGCTAGGGTAAACGTTGATTAAAAAATGAATTTCTGTGTTTAGGTAGAATTTCGAAAATGGCTGCATGTGTCTACCGTCTCTTACGGCGACACACCTTAACTTCGGCATAACGTATATAAGCATCTTGGAGTTCCAAATGGAAATTAAATTAATGTGCCGTCGTGGTTTCCATTTGCAGATGACGCCAGTTTTGGTGATTTCACGTTGTTGTTTTGCAAAGGAAGGCTGAGAAATGTACAAAGTTTTAAAATGCACGTGCTGAGTTACTGGCCATTCTGCCCATTAGATCTTTTGTTTAGCCGCGTCCTCGTTGCCGTCGCCGTCGCCGTCGTGGTTTACTTAAATTCGTACGCGCGCTAGTTTCAAGAAAACCCCAACAAACTAGACCTCAAGAGAAAGCTTAGTAAATGCAGTTTACGATAAAAATACAATTTAGGCGTTTGTTATTATTATTATTATTTAGGGAGTAACAGGAGCCAGTAAGTCGTGAAACGACCAAGGGTCCTTCTATTGAATTTACCGGGTATCGGATCCCGCTGCACAAACAAAATGGCTGCACAGTCTTATTCACAAGGCGTCACTCAACAAAAAATGTCAGGCTATTCCGATGTTCTGATTGGTTGTCTAGATATCCGCACTTAATTCAGAGTAGCGTTAAATATGCAAAACGTGTTGTGTAAATGGACACAACGTGAAAAATATTTCAAAATTCAAAATTTCCTGACACGTTTTTGTTCGTCATTATCCCTGGAATGTTGTGGCGAAATTTCACGAAAATCGATCAAATCTACATACCCTATAAATTCGCTCAAAGTGGATGTATACCTCTCAAAATCAAATGCGAGGTTTTAGCTCCCAAAGGTTTGAAGACAACGATCGCCCCATCAAGAGATTACCTCGCCTCCTGAAACCACGAGCCAAAAGGGAAGACGGGACCTCCTAGCGTCAATAACAATGATTCAAAATTTTCCCGGGAAAAGTATCGCATAGCAGTCACGTTTTTTTTTTTTATCTCGCTCTGTTGAACTTTGGCTTGATTACCAGCCCCTGTTCGGGAACCGGAGCCCGCGCTCCCCGAACCCCTATAATTCACAGGAAGCCATTAAATCGTTTTTGATGGCATCTTTGACTACGATACCCAAACAATTACATTCGATCTTGCTAAAATCCAGTCGGGAGCATCCATATACCACAACGAAGCTTTCCGTATGCAGAGACGCGTTGGGAAGTAAAGCTCTGCCAATTTTAAGCCCACAGTAACTAGTCTATGCGGTTTACGTCTTGCAAAAAGGATAAAACTAGCCTGCAACTAGCCCTCGCTATTGGCGCTCCCCGACCGCGGAAAGATTTGGAACAAGTCACAGAGGTTTGCCCGACGGGTGTCTGGCACTCATTACCAATGCTAGCTCCCTTGCAGACCTCTCGCCGGTTCACGTTGCTCACGTTATGGTGGGCGAACGGGCACTCGTGTGAAGCGTTAATAATGAATGCCTACACACAGGCTGGATTTTACCCTACGCGTGACGTGATCACTTGCATACAGTCAGTCAACTAGATCAAGTCGCGCAAAAGCAGTCAGGTTTCTTCTCGGAGATCCTGGGCGAATTCTTCTAGAATTACAGTAGCAGCTTATAGTCATTGGAGACGAGCGGAGAAGTTAGCGCGCGAAAAATAGCGGGAGCGCGAAGACAAAGTTAAGGTGGCTCGTACTAGTTTCCTCGCGCGGGGAACAGATACCTCTTGCGTCACGCGCGAGAGAAACGTGCGAAAGAAGCGCGCGATTTATAGACGAAAATTTAAAACAAAGATGGCGGCGCGAGGATTTTTTTCTACTTTTGTGATGGGTTCACTTA